CAGAAAGCACTACTCTGGGTTTTAATCCATAGTAACTTCTCCTTGCTTAAGGGGAAGTGCCAAGATCTCCCATCTTGAAATCATAACAATACCAGATTATATATGTATGTGTATTCTATCTGATAGTTTAAACATTAGATATAATAAAAGGTTTGCTAGAGTAATAAAGTAGAATAAATATAAGAGCTTTTTGTCATAAGTGTTATTTTTTATTATGTGTACAGTATTCTCAGTATTCTGTCTGCATGTATGCTTGCAGGCCAGAAGAGGGCACCAGATCTCATTACAGATGGTTGTGAGCCACCATGTGGTTGCTGGGAATTGAACTCAGGACCTTTGGAAGAGCAGGCAGTGCTCTTAACCGCTGAGCCATCTCTCCAGCCCCTGTCATAAGTGTTGTATGAATGTCGTCTCAGCCTATTTACTATGCCTGTTCAGCCTGTGCTGGCACACGATGATAAAGTGCTTGCCTGATGAGATGAAGTGTTATGATACAGACATAGTGAGTGGTGCAGCTTTGACTGCTACAGAGAGATGGCTGAACACTGGTACTGTGACAGTTGAGTGACAAGGGCAGTGTCTGCGCTGTAGATGACTGGACACAGTGATGAGCCGCATCTTAGAAAAGGGGGTGCAAATTGCTTCACTCCTTAGAAGTCTGTCATTTAAAATTTATGGAATATTTCCAAAGTTTTCAGGCCACAGTTGACCATGGATAACTGAAACCAGGAGTTGAAAACAAGGATGGAGCTAAAATAGTAGTATATGTGTGGTCTGCTGACTTTTTTCTCTTATTGTAGAAGCATAGATACTTTCTGTAAATAAATTTGGGTTATGAAGACCTGATTGGGTAGGAGAAGACATGGTGGAAATTTTGAGTTGTATATAAATTTTACTCAAATAATTTATCACCTTTCCCCCACCCCCAGGAACATCGAAATCGTGTCTTTCATGATTTCCGAAATGGCTTATGCCGCAATCTTGTTTGCACTGGTAAGTGTTTTTGTATTTCTTGAGCCCTGTGTTTCCTATGTTGTCTGGATTACTTTCTGTCACATCGCTCATCACACCTGCTACACCTTGAGAGCTTCTGACGTTCAGAGTGGCATTGGGCTCATCTGACGCTTATGCTGCACGTGTGTCTTTAAACTGGGCTTCAAAGCTGTGTTTTCTGAATAGTTCTAATGAACAAGCACAAAATAAACTGAACTAAAAAATTGCATTTTAGAAGTTGTGTCTTTTTGTTTTTTCCCCAGAATCAAACTAGTTTATACCCTAAGCCAAAATTTTCTGGTTATTTTTTAGTTATTTCCTTTCTACGGAAAAATAAATATGGTCAGGGTTGTGGAGGCACAAACATAGTTCAGAAAAAACTACTAGATTCAGTGCCTTCCCAGCTATATGCTTGGAATTTCATTTTACTATTAGTGTGAGATGAACAGTAAGCATTGAGGAAGTAGAAGGATTTGGGATTTGAGATGTGCTGTATGCACTGATAAATGTTCTCATCTTTATTATCACTCAGATCAAATTTTATTTTAGAGGCATTGGTTGGTTGTTTGCTTAGTTTTGGTTTTTTGAGACAGGGTATTACTATATAGCTCTTACTGGCCTGGAAGCTGAATATGTAGACTAGACTTGTTCTTTGCCTCTGTGTTCTGGAATTAAAGGTGTGTACCACCATACTTGGCACAAACAGATGTATGTTTTTAAGTTTTAATGTGTGTGTGTCTGACATGTGTGCACAAGTGCCTGAAGAGGCCAGAAGAGGGCATTGAAACCCCTGAAACCATATGAGCCTGCGGATGTGGGTGCTGGGAACTGAGCTCACATCTTCCGGAAAAATCAAGTGCTTGTAGCCACTGAGCCATCTTAGCCTTTATTGGAATATTCTAATCAGGATTTTTGTGGCAATGCTATATAAATAAAATGCTCAATACATCTACCAGAGATTAAATTTGGTGATTGCCAGTAATCGAGTGACTATAAAATAACTTGTGTGCTCCTAATTTTCTTAACTACTTACATTCTAGTTAATGGAACATACACTAGACTACTAGAACTTTTTAATTGTTAGATTTTTAAAAATAATTTCATGTTGCCCAGGATGTTCTCTTAACTGCATTCTTTCTGCCTTGGCCTCCTGAGTGCTGGGCCTATATTATAGGTGTGTACCACCATCCCCAGCAAGACTCCTGAAGTTATGAGATTAGGAAGCAAGCTTCTCCACACACACACACACACACACACACACACAAACACATTGTAACCTGAGGCAAATCACATTTTTCCTCTGCTGTTTTTCTTCTATAAACTGAAGGTGCCATACACACTAAATTGTGAATAAACATGGTTGCTCCTTTCTACACCCCTGTTAATGTTCAGTGGATGTGTATTCTTCACTAGATAGTGGCTGGTGCAGAAGCAGTGTGTGTTGCAACCATTAGGTATATTAAGAGACCTTCTGTCTCCAGTTCTGAATTTGAGAATTTCATTCATAAATACATTGTATTTTTATCATTTCTCCCTCCCTCTACCCCTTTCTAACTCCTGTGCTCCCCCTTTAGTTCATGACCTCTTCCTCTATAGTTATTGCTATTTTTTTGTATGTGAATGTGCACACGTGTGGACAGACAGACAGACATACACACACACACACATACTCTCTTCTTAGTGCTGCCTCTATGTATGTGCGTGTTTAGGACCAACCACTGAGGACTGGGGCCTCAGCTCTGAAGAACAGTAGGTCTCTGCAGCAGCTGACTGCTGGAGTTCTTCATGTAGAGGTGGGGCTGTGAGACATTTCCCTTCATCCGTGCAGTCGTGTCAGCTGATGTGCTCTTTGTGGGTCCTACGAGGGCAGCCGTGTTATTCAGTGGTTAACTTTTTAAAATTGTGGTGAAATATTTGGCTGTATGTTAGATGTTTCCATTATATTCTTCCCTGCTTTTGGAAAACCCATGAAGTGCTTAGTGGTGAATGTTCAGTATTAATAAGAAAATAGAAGCTGCATTTCTGTCAGGCACCTCCCCCGTATTTTCCCACCTTTAAGTAAAATGTTGGAGTTTAGGAGCTGTGAGGTCAATCCCTAACACTAAAAGAAAAAGAGGACATTGATAGTAGTTACAGTATTTACACAATACATAAATTACACTGGTTGGTTGGCTTTATTTATTTATTGAGTTGGGGTCTCTTGAAGCCCAGGATAGTCTGAAGTTCAGCATTAAACCCAGGATGCCCTGCTTCCTCTCCTGAGTACAGGGATTATGGGTATGCAGCAGTATGCCAAATTTTACTAGATGCTGGCATCAGTCCTAGGGTTAGGGTTTTCTGCAGTACAAAAATATAGTGTGTGGAATATAAAAATACCCATATATAAAATTCTACCCATTTGGGTGATGGAGGCAGTTTAAGCCAGCCTGTGCTCAAAAAAAGCAAAGTAAAAATAAAATACCAATTCTCCTTCAAGGATAGTGATTTAATAAAAAAAAAATGGAATTAAAGGAAAGCTTGCATGCCATATAATCTTTAGAAGTATGAGTCTTTTCCATAACAGCTCAAATAGAAGCCTCAAAATAGTATACAGATGAGGCTGTGAGGTGGTGTGCATGCCTTTGATCAGAGGCAGGTGAGTTCAAGGCCAGCCTGTAGTACAGAACAAGTTTCAGGACAGACTTCAGGGATATACAAAAAGAAATGTATACAAATGAATGGGCAGTAAAAAGAAAATTAAGAACTAGTTGGTGCCAAGTGTTGTGGGTTAAGTCAAGCACTGGGATAAGGGCAGGAAGGTTGTTTGAAATCCAAGGCCCACCTGGTGTGCTAGCAAGTTCAAGGCCAGCCAAAGCTACAAAGTGAGTGAGACCTGTCTTAAAAATTGTTGAGCTTAATTGACAAGTAATGTGAGGTGTTGATTGTTATGTTCCTGGTATTTGTTAGAGTGTGAAAGTCGTGTGGCTTCAAGTGAGCTGGTGTGTTAAGTGACTTTATAGACTGGGTAAGTTTGAGATGTGGAGAAAAGGGAATTTCGTGTTTCAAGACTTGGAAAAAATGGTTCATAAACGTCTAACAAGTTATGGTAGAGAGTACTTGTATTCCTAATACTTGGGAGTCTTTGAGGAAAGTGTGATTCAAGACTAGCCTTGGAAGCTTTTTTAAGAAACCTTTTTTTAAAAAGAAGAAAATCGACCTGATTTTGGTTTTGGAAGGGGATGCTGAGAGATCGGGGAACCTAGTTATGATCCTATTGTGAGGGTACGAGGGGACACTGCTCATTTAGATAAATGGTGAGTGACTCCTAGAAGCAAAATCAGTGAATTCCCTTTCTGAACTGTTCTGGATTTGTAAGTCTTGGATTAGGTACTAGACAGTAGAATAAGAAAATCATTAGTTAGTCATAAGACTCATTTATGCAATCATCTTCCTGCGTTGGTATTCCCTAGACTAGTTTTTAGGACTTTTTTTTTTTACAGGAACAGAAAGCTGTTTATGATAGATAATGTGTGTAATCATGGAAGAGTGCCAGTAGTCACTGAAGGAAGTATTAAACATGGGCTGCAGTAGAAACCAGTGCATTGTGGTTCCAAGAACCATGTTTCAATTTAAAACCATTTTTTTTTTTAGATCTGTTTACCCGAGGTATTGATATACAAGCTGTGAATGTGGTAATAAACTTTGACTTCCCAAAGCTGGCAGAGACCTATCTTCATCGCATTGGAAGATCAGGTGAGTAGAAAGGGAATTGCCTAGCAGACATCTAGGACAAGAACTATAATCACTCGGTTTTGGTTTTGTTTTGTTATTTTTCATGAAGTAAAGTATAATGGCTGTAAGAGGCGGAAGTCACACTAGTTTCACTGTTTGATACTTTTCATTGATAAGCCATTTGTATCTAGAGACATCCTGGAACTTAAGGTGCACTGCCGCAGCCTCCCACATCTGATGATTACAGGTGTTTACTGGTGAGGCCGGCAAGGTGGCTCAGTGAGTAAAGGTATTTGCTGCACAAACCCAATAACCTGAATTCAATGCTGTAGCTTACAGTAAGAAAAGAACCAACTGCCAACACAAACACACTTGTGCACTCGTGCATGT